ATATATATATATATATATATATATATATATATATATATATATATAATATTATTCATGAATGACTTCACATAAAACCATTTTTTTCACAAAATAGGTACATAAATATATTTAGCAAAATTAACATAAATCATCAGTTTTTATCTTATTGGGATCCTTTTGCTGCTGGAACGTTCAGACATAAAGATATATTTTCCATTTTTTCTTAAAATTCCTTAGTCCTTGGAAAAACACAGTAGGCTTGTAGGCAAGAAGGAAAATGATCAAAACACATCTTCCCATACTAGGCTGAACAAACTTCTACCAGCAGAAGGGCGAGAATTAGATACAGTACCATCCATTCTGTGTGCAAGTTGAAATTTAGCCCATGTTCTTTCACATAAACAGATTATTCTCCCATATCCTATAGTGAAGCATTCCAAAGGTTTCTTATTGCCATTTTTGTTTTATTTTTTATCAAGTTACTCTGTTCCCCATTTTCTGATTTATAGTTTATTTCTGGGACAGCTGTACATCTACAGTCATAACACCTAACATTTTAATAACACCTAACATTCAGCTGAATCCATTTAAATATAAGTCAAATATAACTTAGTTACTATGAATGGGACTTCAAATCATATATCTCCCATTAATAAATATAAAACGACGAAGATTTTTATTCCATATATAGAATAGCAATGTTTTTTTTTTAAAAAAAATATTTTAAAGACATTTGTTAAACTGAGACAGACTATGGAACTTACTCTTTTCTGTAATCCAGCAATCTGTTTTCGTGTTTCAACATCCTTTCCTCCTGATTCTAGGAATTTTCTGTAAGCAAGGTCAAATGCTTGGCCAATAGTTAAAGTTATCTCTTCTGCCTTGAAATAAAACAGGTCTTACCATTAGCATGCAATGGTAATGTTGCAAAGAATAGAGGCTTGTATTGATTCATCATCTATAATATTAGGGAAACTATTAATACAAAAAAATCACAGCTGGCTCAAAAATGTTCATGCCATAGAATCAATAAAATATGAAATGAAAATAGAAAAAAAAAACCAAATTATTACATAATTCCACTGAAGGGGCTTGATGGGGCTTGATGTACTGAAGTCAGGCCCTGTCATAAGTTGATTTTTCACATTTTTATTATAAATAAAAATACATGAGGAATATATTTCTAAGGAGATAAAGACATGATTTTTGTATAATTTACCAACTAATTGCTGCATTTTGGTTATTTTGTACAATGAGGTTTAAATGGAGGAAAAATACAATACAAAAATTATAAAATATTAACTTGTTTTAAATATAATTAAGAAGTCTGTGGTAGAAGTCTATGGTAGGATACCATATAAAGAGCACATAACCTTCATGAAGTTTCAGGTGCAGATTAAAAAATATTCATATGGGATAAAGATTTGGTCATATTTATTACACCTGTACCAAGTATTGTTCAAGTAAGCACATCAGAATATTATAACTGGTTAGCTATTCTAGACAGCGAAGAGCCTAATTGGTGTATGCATTTGGACTGTTTCCTAACAAGTAAGCACAATCACCTATCACTTTCAATCATAATCATGTGTCACTTTCATTCAATGTAGAATTGGACCTCTTAGCATTGGACTGATTTTATGATATTCAAACATATATGTATGTACTATATTGGCAAAGAACAACAGAAATTGAAAGCATAGAGAACATAAGTTTTAATCAAAAGAAAAACCATCAATTTACTTTACTTACTATTTTATAAAAAAAAAAAACAGGAGGAGTTCTTATTAAAAAAAAAGGCAGGAGGAACAATACAACTTTTCAATATTAAAAGAATAAATTCAACCTGTTTGAAAGTCTATGTATACTTACACATTTTTCACTGTCAAAGACATAACACAAGTGTTTATTTGATTCAGAATCTTTGCATATGAAAGTGAATATTCTTTTGTCAGTTTTGTCATCAGCACAAAATGATATCCTGTGGAGCTGGCAGTTGTGCAGGACTTCCTGCAAATAACAAATGTGCAATTACCTCTCGGAATTACTTTTTGACTGCTAAATATTATTTATTCAAGACGCCCAGGATGAAGCAGAGTCCTCTTAACAAAACAACAAAACAGAATATGTTTTATTCTTGTAGTCCTCAATATTGATTTTAATACTGAATTTATATATTTTTGTACACAGTGGTGTCTGCACAGAGAGTCAAATGGTAAGTCTGATGAAAACAGGATTGTACTGTAACAACTCTGCTTTTGTCCTAAGGAAAACAGCAGAAGCTGTGGATGTCAATGTTACTCCAGCTGCATTATTAGATACAATTGCAAAGTAATCTGGGTCTAATTTTCAGTTTCATTAGACAAGGGAACAAAAACACAAGATACTCCATTATAAATACTTGAGAAGATCCAACTTCAGTCACAGGATGTTTTTGCTGTATGATACTCAAGTTTCTGCACTGATAATTATACAATTATTACTGTATATTTTCCCAATTGACACAATTTTTCAATGTAAAATATTGCAGAAATAAATCATGTCATCCCAGTTTATCTATTTATAAAGTAATCCAAATGGCATGGGTTATCTTGCCTTGGCTAAAATTTCAAGGGGTAAAGAGAAATAAGAAGACAATCTTACCTTTGTTTTTGGATCTAGAATCTTTACGCCATATATGGAAATCTGTAACTCAACTTTTGGTGTTTTTTGGCCTTCAGATTTCTTAATATGTCTTGCAAACTGAAAATCAGAGAAAAATAATCATAAAGAATATTTTAAGATCCTACTTATATTATGTTATGTCGTAGTTTCCCCTAAATTCAGATACTTTGTCATTTTTTTATTCATAATTTAATTTCTATTCTGCCTTTCTGTTTATTTCAACATTTACTAAATTATCTTATACTTTGTTTCTTTAAAGATTTTTTTTTTTTTAGGAAACAGGGTTTAGTTGTGTGTCTTTCTTTCTTTTTCTTCCTTTCTGCCAACTCCTGGGATTGGTAGTTCACTGGCTCACCGTCTCTTTGGAGAATTTTCACTTTGCAAACCTATAGTAGCTACTGCCAAATTTATGGACATCTCATGGCCAAAAATGAATTGATTGGAACTATTAAAAAACACTGGGCTCGGGGTTCAATCCTACCAGATATTCCAGAAGGATAACATGATTATCAGAACTATCAAGGGATCTCAAGACATTAAAGCTCACAGAGAGGGGGGGGGGGGGAAGGGAAGGAGGGAGGGAGAGAGAGTGTGTGTATATGCTTGGGGTGTTTGTATGTGCATTGGTATACATGTGTGTGATATAAGTTCATATGCTTTAGGTATTATTCCTTAGTATGATTGGAGCTTCTTGTGAGGATTCATGGTGAGTTCTGTACATGTCCCTCAGGGATCAGGAATGGCATTGTGGCAAAGGTCGACAGTCAGACAGCAAATTCTGGTTTGTGAAGTGTCTCCGGAAAAAGAAGAGAACGGGTTTGCATTCTGGACAGGTGATCCTCATGAATATAATCTTGACAATAGATGAGAAAGACTATGTCGAAGTAAGTCAGATATTGCTGGGAAATCAAGGAGCCAACCAAGAAGAAATGAGAGAAGAAATGATTGGCCAGGCCATCACTATATTCCTCAGATCAGCCAGAACTCCCAACAGCATTTATAAGAGATAATTTGTTAGCTCTAATCTGTCAGCTCTTCCAGGATTTTTTTATTTAAAGAACTATTATGTCCACCTATCTCATTGTGATAATAGGCATCTTGCAACAATCAACAAAAGACTTATTACATATTGTAGTCTTCCCATCAAGAAACCATAACAAGACACATTAGTCACCACTTGACTTAATCCCATCCTAGCCCAATGTTTGCAGGAAGAGCCAGGTCTTTGTGACCTTCTGGAAGGGTAAAAGAATAGGGTACCCAAATCTCAAGTGGGAGACTATTTCAAAGGCATTGGTAACTACAGAGAAGGCATGCCTCCAACGTCTCAGTAGATGATGCATGAGAGAAGGGAGGTTGGCCTCATCAGGAAATTACTGGAACTCTGTTAAAGAGCGTAAATACACAATCTTGCCAACCTAATATTCTCTTTCTCTCTCGCTCTCCTCCCCCCTGCCCCCCATAACAAAGAAAATCAAGGTGGATTAATCTTGAGTTTCTTTCTTACTTATTCCTCCTTCCAGGGACAACCTGTGTTTACCTAGACTTTTGAATTCCAACTTTAAGACCATCTCCATGAGTTTTCATTCAATTGGTTTACTGTCCCTGTAACACTGTCTCTGTAATTTAGTAATTAATCAGTGCTGAACTTACTTCCCTATGCTTAGAATTTGGCTTAGTCCAATTGCTGAGTTGTGGTGGCAGTACAAACATTCTTATAGTCTGGTACATAAGAAAGATTGTGCTGGTAAGGTTCTGTTGCAGAAAATGTTTCCCAAACTTTAATAAAGTACAAAAATGTTCTAATGTCATAGATGTTATAACATCCTATATTAATTACCAACAAAGGAAACTTGATGTTACAACTGATGCCAAAGTATTATTACTGATCCTGTTCTATTGTTTCCAATAAGCTGATTTATTTTTCAAGCCTTTCCCTTAAGTAGTGGAAAGTAAAACAATATGCAGAAATGTTACTGCGGTCTTTGATACTGCAAAGAGAAAGAAAACCGTTTAGAAAAAAGAGGGAAAGCAACATATCGGCAGGCTTCCTGCTTCTGAAAGTTGTCTCTGAAAAATAGCAGAACAGTGAAGAGAAAGAAATTAGAGGTAATCAACTGCCTTGGACTTCATTGTTCAACAGCCCCAGAGAGGTGGTGGAATCTGTGGTATAAAACATCTGGAGAATTCAGAATTTGTCTATATCTGTGCTGGTTTCAAAATGTAGCCCTTTAACTGGATTAAATCTGTTGGCTAATATGCCATTCTGTATTTTTCCAAACATTAAAACATCACTTGCAACCACAATCTCTATGATTTGTGGTCGGGGTAATATTTTAAGAAACCGATTCTAGATATCCTGTTTTAGGTTTTTAATATTTAAAATTATGGAAAATTCTATTTCAGAAAGATGGAATACTTTGTAAACACCTATGGAGCTACTACACTTTGAACATCTATGGCCCATTGATTTTATGAGTTATACTCTGTTTAATACAGAGAAAAAATTCTTTATGAAAAGAAAAAATAGAGTATTCCAAGTAAAACTGAATATTCCAACAGGATGATGGTAGACTATGCAATAAGGCTTTTCAAGGAACTAAGCAATGGTCGGTGCAATATAGTAACTGAAATGCCAATTATTTGAGATAAATTAAAATTTGGGATTTTTTAAAAATTATTCCTGACTCTTTTTTCCTGTGGAACACCAGCCCCACCTGTTGGTAAAAATAAAAATGTACTATGCATTATGTTTTATATTGAGGTAACAGTGCAAATGAGGGAAACATCATGTTTTTATATAATTAACTTGTTTATCTCTGACTATAGAACTAAATTAATTATAAGGGATTATGGCACACCCAATTATAAACATAATGCAGTCATAACTGAACAATGCTTCAGCAAATGCAAAATTTCACAGCCATTGTGAAGCAAAATTAACAGAATCCCATGTGCCAAACAAACAAAAGCCAAACAATTTTCCAAACAAAAATTAATATTTAAAATACAGGTAACCCTCGACTTACAACAGTTCATTTAGTGACCATTTGAAGTTACAACAGCACTGAAAAATGTGATTCATGACTATTTTTCACACTTTTGACTGTTGCAGGATCCGTGATTTATATTCAGATGCTTGACAAATGACAGCTGCAGTATCCTGGAGTCATGTGATCCCCTTTTGCGACTTTCTAACAAGCAAAGTCAACGGGGAAAGCAGATTCACTTAAGAACTGTGTTATTAATTTTACAACTGCAGTGATTCACTTAACAAATGTGGCAAGAAAAATTGTAAAATGGGGCAAAACTCGTTTAACAAGATTTTCACTTAGCAACATAAATTTTGAGCTCAACTGTGGTCATAAGTTGAGGACTACTTGTAACTGTTAGCCAAAAAGGAGCCACTACAGCACTAGACATCATAAATAACATTGCTGCTTTTTTTTTTTTTAGTCCACATTTCCAACAATAAGCTGAATCTACTTTTGTCTAATAGGTAACAAAAATGGGTTATTTGAATATGGATTATTGGAATAATAATTGTTCACCTATAAAAAGTGACTTAATGAATGTGAAAATAATTTTCTATTGTCACAAATGGGTTAGATATTCTAATCCACTACTCCATGTTTGCTTATTTTTTTGAATGTCTAATTTGAATACTAACATAGTATAATTTAAGCAAGGACTTATTAGGGTGGTTTTGTTGTGTGTCTGTTAAAATTACTACAAACAAAGGTGGTTCTGAAGCCCTTAGGTTGAAGGCTAATATCTTGACATCATAAATTGTTTTATTTATAAAAAATTCCACGGTTATTTTTTTTTTCAACTGATAAACAGGCTGCAGAAACTAATTGATCGACAGTATGCATTCTGTGATCCATTTACAATCTCCCCCAAAATAAAGCTTTGCTATGACCTCTTTCAGACCATAAAAATCAAAGTAGATGTCTCTCTGATGGCTCATGTAGAAGGAGAAGAATTCAATACTTTTACAAATAATTGGACCCGAAGGGACTCCCATTTCTAAGAATGTCTGATAACAATGATCCCAAGATAGCTAAGAGTACACTTCCAATGACCGAGCTCATTGAACTGAGACAGAAAATAACACCTTACTGAATCTGAAAAATTAACATATCTTTCTCTAAGATGCAACAGGAGCTTCCTAACAGAGGAAAGAACTTCCCAGACTCCCTAGAAGTTAAACTGATTTTCAGAAAATATATTTCAATCCCCATTCTTGCTAGAGTCCTGACTGCTTCCCATAATGAGCAAAGCAACAAATGAATCTAGTGGACAAAACAAAAAGGGGCCTTTAAGACGGAAGTCTGTTGGGATGAGGGAGGGAACTAGAGAGAACGCTGCCAAAGTCATTGGTTAATGACACAACAGCCATTGGTTAATGTTATATATAGGCACATATCTCCTTAATGGTAGTTTTACACTCTGATGATGTTAGCTGAGGCTAATGATATTTTGGAACTGAACACAATCTACTTTGCAAATGAAGGTAAATACATATGTCCCAGATTCATATTGTAGGATCCAATCTGAGTCAGTCGCTGGGACCAAAGGTTTATTCTTCTAAACTTTTGGACTTGTTGTAGAGCCCATCCTCAGAGAACCTTTCTGTCTCCAAAATGTGTCTCCATTCTGGAGAGAGAAAAGCTTTCTCAAGATGGACACCAGCATGAATCCAAAAACGTGACAAAAGAAACCTTTGGTCCCAATGACCAACTCAGATTGGATCCTACAATTTACTTCAGTAACAAACATACATTTAGAATCAGAATTTTTTTGTCAAACATAAATACTGTATTTTAAAATTTTCCTTACCTTAAGTTTTCTCACAGCATCTCTTACAATCTCTGTGCCTTTGGGCTGCTCCACTTCTGTACTGCCAAGAAACTGAAATATTGTAATTTGTGAGAAAAAAGTTTTAAGTCTTTGAAATAGCTAAACAGTATTTTAATGGCCAATAATTTATTTCTGTGTGATTTTAAATCAGAAAGACTAAATTTCAGTTAAACTGAAATATTTTACTTAATTTGACATCTTTTTTCTTTCCTTGAATACTGCACAATGTGCACTTTCGTAATTGTCTGCTCTGGCAAATCAATCTTGGAAAAATCCTAACCCTTACTAAAGAAAAATTTCAGCCGCAAAAGATCTGCCACAATATTTGCAAAAATATTTCAGACTCTGCCTACAATTTGATCTCTTTCTAAAGTTATCAACTTGCAGTGAACATTAAGAGACAAATGTGAAATATGATGCACTAGCATCGAATTTAGGGCAAGACTTCAACATAAATAATGGTGCTATGCCAGTATTTATTATATTTGTTTTGGAACAAACATTCAGGATTAAGGTAAAAGGCAAACAGCACTCGGCAATACTCTCTGAGTGGCTTATAGTAATGCTGACTTGTAGAAATGTAAGTATTACATTTAAATGATTGTTATTCATTTCAGAGGATAAGAACTGCTGCACTTGGTTAATCAATGAGGGACCACGCTGAAGCATTGGTGAACAATTCATGCAGAAATTTTGCAGAGGATGTAAAAAGGACTATGTGGTATGTTGTGGCACAAATCCAAAGCTGTATACATCCACTTGTCTTTCACATATTACGCTGATAATATTTCCCAGCTCTAGGGCAATAAAGATGAGATGGCTATATTAGGAGCTAATAAAATTTGCTGCTTTTTTATGTCTCTAAATTTGCGCTAAGATTGGCAACCACTATCACAGTGAGTCATGGTGGCACAGTAGTTAAAGTGCAGCATTGTAGGCAAACTCTGTCCACAGCCTGGAGTTTGATCCTGAAGGGGCTCAAGGTTGACTCAGCCTTCCATCTTTCCAAGATCAGTAAAATGGGGACCCAGATTGTTGGGGGACCCAGATTGTTGGGGGACCCAGATTGTTGGGGGACCCAGATTGTTGGTTTACATTGTAAACCACCCAGAGAGTGCTATAAAGCACTATGGGGTGGCATATAAGCCTAAATGCTGCTGCTATCATAGAACTTTCTCTTGATACAAATGATGATGAAAAAGAAAAATGCTTGGACCGTACTCTAACATGGACATTACAACGTTTTTATAAGAAGTGCTGTAAATAAAGGCACAGCATTCTTTTACACCAAACACATGGAATTTAGCTCATGTATGCTCCTCCCTCTAAAAAACCCACTTATTTATGAAAAAGAAAAGCTAGGTTGCCCCACTATTCTTCGTTCCTTCATATGTTGAGAGGTAAGTTTTTACTAGTATTTTTCACTTTCTGCAGGTGGGTTCTTGTCCCTTAATCTGCTTTAGTGGCTAGAGACCCTGACTATATTGAATATTCTTCAGGACTAAATCTGTGAGTTTGCATTACAAGGATGTAACTACTGAATTTTAAGCACATTTACAAGTACAGAAAATGCCACTTCTGTGCTCGGAGGTATGTTGGCTACTTGCTTAAAGTTAGCAGATTAATTTTACAGCAGTTTAAAAGACTAAAGCAGAAGTGAGTGACTTTTGCTGAGCTGTAACTTCCAGTTTCTTCACCATTAGTCAGCCTAACTAGGACTGGAGAGAACTGTAGCTCAGCAGTACTTGGAAAGTTACAGACACCCTGCTCTGGAACTGTCTACCCCAATATATCTTATATTCGAACTTCCGGTTTGTCGGCTTCGCAAGCGGCAGGGATTCGCGAAGCTGCGCGATCCCTGCTGTGCTAGCCGCTTTTGGTGCTCCGATCCGGACGGGTCCGGAGCTAGGCTGCCCTGCAGGGGCAGCTGAAGATAGGGGGATCCGGAGAGGGGTTTGGGGGTGTTGCAGACCCCCTCCCCGGCCGGCAGAACCCCCTTTTCCCAAGACGGTGCAGCGGCGGTCCGCAATGGCCGCCACAAAGAAGCTGGCAGCCGGGTAAGAATGCGCAGGAGGAAGTGGAGAAAGTTTTTGAAAAGAGAAAGTTTTTCTTGGTTCCCAGGACTCTAAGACATATTTAACAAAACTCCTGAAAATTATGACTTTCTGAATGATACCTTCTAGAAGAGGGAAAAAGCGGCAGTTTGGTGGTGCTGAAAGGAAAGTTTACTCTCCTTCCCGACGGAATTAATAAGTGGACATTGAGAAACCTGTTTTTTTCAGGTAAAACTAGCTTTATGGGATAAGTCGGAAGGGAGAGGACAAAAAATATATTCATCTGGTTTGATTTTGTTGGAGGAGATGCCTTAAGGATTTGAAGACAGAAATAGAACTCCAATAAGGCTTCAAAATACAGATTTGGACTTTCTTTTTTCTTTTGTCTGATACTACCCCTGGAAGAGAAAGGGAGAATTTTGTCTTGGCTTGGATTGATTGAGGATTGTGGATTTTGGGATTGTTTTACTTTTTTTTGAAATATCTTGGTTGGTGTAAGAAGAAAGAGGGAAAAAAGAAAAGAAAAGATCTATAATGGCCTTTTCTTTTGAGGAACTGAGGGAAGAATATGAGCAAACAAAAGCAGCCGGTAAAGATGGTATGGAAAAAGCCTTCCTATTTTTAGAAATGGCGCTGGTTAACTATCAACAAACAATACAACAGATGGAGGCAGAAGAACAACAACAAGAAGAAGATGAAGACGCCATCTTTAATGAATTCCAAAATTTAACTAAGAAAGAAGGAAGGAAGGAGGTTTCCGGTTTGTCGGCTTCGCGAGCGGCAGGGATTTGCGAAGCTGCGCGATCCCTGCCGCGCTAGCCGTTTTTGGGGCTCCGACCCAGACGGGTACGGAGCTAGGCTGCCCTGCAGGGGCAGCTGAAGGTAGGGGGGATCCGGAGAAGGGTTTGGGGGTGCTGCAGACCCCCTCCCCGGCCGGCAGAACCCCCTTTTCCCAGGACGGTGCAGCGGCGGTCCGTAATGGCCGCCACAAAGAAGCTGGCAGCCGGGTAAGAATGCGCAGGAGGAAGTGGAGAAAGTGCTTGAGAGGAGAAAGTTTTTCTTGGTTCCTAGGACTCTAAGACATATTTAACAAAATTCCTGAAAAGCACGACTTTCTGAATGATACCTTCGAGAAGAGGAAAAAAGCGGCAGTTTAATGGTGCTGAAAGGATAGCTTACCCTCTTTTTTTACGGAATAAAAAGTGAATATTAAGAAACCTATTTTTTTTTAGGTGGAAACTGGCTTTAAGCGATGAGTGGGAAAAGAGAGGACTAAAAAAAAATATTTGTATGCTAAGACTTTGTTGGAGGAGATGCCTTAAGGATTGAAAGACTAAAATATATTGCAATAAGATTTTAAGAAACAGATTTGGACTTTCTTTTTCTCTAATTGATACTACCCTAGGAGGAGAGAGTGGGAACTCTGTCTTGGTTTGGACTGACTGATAACTTTGGGATTGTCTTATTTTTCCTTTGGAATATTCTGGCTGTTGTAAGAGAAAAGAAAAGAAAAGATTTATAATGGCTTCTTCTATCGAGGAACTGAGAAAAGATTATGAGCAAGCAAAACAAAATGGTAAAGCTGGTTTGAAAGAAGCCTGCCTTTTTTTGGAAATGGCGTTCATTAACTATCAACAAACATTGCAACAGATGAAGACAGCAGAAGAAGAACAAAGAGAGGAAGCCATCTTTAATAAATCTCAGAACTCGACCAAGAGGGAAGGAAGAGGGAAAAGAAGAGAAATAAAGGACTTAAGAATTAAAAAAACATTTAAGAAAGGGAAAAACAAGGTGCAAAATCAATATAAGGATGGTAAACAAAAGGGAAGAGGAATACGACAGAGAAGGGAAGCCAGTAAGGCAGAGGCTAGAAGAAGGGGGGGTAGAAAGGTTTGTTGGGAGAAGAAAGAAAGGGAAAAGGTGGAGAAAAGCTACAAAGTTTTGAAATTAAATGGGAAAAAAGAAATTTTTTTTAGGGATAAAGGATAAGTATAATTTCTTCAAAGAGATTTTGCAACGTACATAAGATGATATTGTAGTATTGTATCAGAAATAGAAAATTTAAATTGCTTGAGAGTTGATAAGAGATTAAAATGTTGAAATGTTAATAATGATTGGTTTGAAAATATAATATGAGGGGAGATTTAGAATATTAAACTTTAATTAAAGAGTTTAATAAGATTATGGTATTGATGTTATTATAAAACTTTCATTATAGTATTTTGTTTTTAATATTTAGATCTATTGTTTAACTATGTATTTAATTGTTTTGGATGTATTATTCAGTTAGAATGTACCAAGCAAAATCGGATTGGGTATTTTAAAGATTAATTTGATTAATTTAGTGGGGAGATAGAAAGGCATCATACTCTGATTAGTGATTTCAGGAGAAATTTCTTTCTTTTTAAAAGGAATGAGACAAAGGTACAATAGAGAATGGACAAAAGATATAAATATAATGACTCAAATTAAGATGATTAATTAAGATAGAATTAAGAAGAGTGAAATATGTGGAGAAGTTAATATAGAAGACTTAGAATGATAAATAAAATAAGTAATGATATCTAAGATGAGCATGAATATAATTGAAGTCCATGAAAAGAGAGATACCTGGGTCCAAGTTACTTTCCAAAAAGATCTTTTTTATGTTTTGTGTGTTGTGTGTATATGTTTTTTTTGGGGGGGGGAGAATTAATAAAACCTTGTAGAAATATAGAATGAGAATAATGGTAACTAAGTCAGAAAGAAATAGATGAAATAATAATAATAAAATTGAATAAGAGTAAAGAGAAATAAAGGGAAATTGGATAAGAGGTTTTTGTATGTTTATATGGAAATGGTTTAAAACAGAATTATAGTTTATCTGACTTGTTAAATTTATAATGGAAAAAGGTTAAACATGTAATGGATAAAAAAAAAAAGAAGGAAGGAAGAAAGCGAGGAAAATGAAGGTCTTGAGATCTAAAAAAACATTTAAGAAAGAGAAAAATAAGATGC